CAATTCTATGGCACGGTACTAATTCTATTCCTAACAATATATATGAAAGTTAAGATGGATAGATGTTTATAGGGTTTGTAGCTTAACCTGCTGAAAGGATATCGAAACATATCGAAATGTAGAGTATAGTCTGGAAGAAGTCAAAGTGTGGCTACTTACTTTTGTTATTTTACTTCCAAGCTTGCGGAGTCACGGTCGAAAGCTAGTACTTAATAAAAGGAGACTGAATACTAGATAAAACGAGAAATGGAGATAGCTTAGTAAAAATCCCCACAAAATTTTTCATTTTCATAACATCACGATATTATTAAAAAACGGTACTTTAAGCCATTATCAAATATAATAGATTTTTTCCATTTGTCTATGTTTTAGCATTAACATTGTCTTCATTATCACCATCTGATAATTAGATTGTTATCAATAATTGGATAACAGGGAAGTACCGCTAACAGTAGCCAAATAATACTGATAACGTGTATACAAAAACTGTTCGTTAAATTCAATCAGGCTTTTGTAAATGGTACTTTACTATCGGTTAATTAAAATAAATGTTAAACTGTTACGGAGTTATGATGCAGAGGTGTGTGTCTTAATTTTGACTTTAATATCTTGTTCCAGGTTCAACTACTTCAACTAATTCTACGTCCATCTTCAATTCGTATCGATTAAAAAGAATGGTTTTCGTATACGGAGCTGGAGCGGTCGCAGCTACATCAAACTCTGTTAGCAAATATCAAAGACCAATTAGCCAATATCAGCCGGTCTGCAAGGCTCAGACTAAACAGTTCATCAGCACAGATTATACAAAGGGTTTAGAAACCGCTAAAAAAGCTCCGAGTTATCCCACTCAAGCGGGAAAAGCAGCTGTAAAAATTGGATACAAATACGTTGTGAAAATACTCAAGTGATAGATAGCTGGATAATTTTCTAGACGGAAAAGTAATAAAAAAAAATCAGGAAATAATTGAGTGTATAGGAAATACTTAAATATAGATTCTATACACTTGAGCTACATATTGAAAGGAAGTGTTTGCCGTTCCGGTTGACATTTCTCGTTTTTGAGGTTAGTTTTGGCGGGTGATGTTTTATAGTATCGTATAAGTTACTTTATTTTGTTTTTCTGTGATGTTAACATAATAACAAACTTGACAATGAATTATTTAAGTAGCGTTCAGTTCCTTGGCTTTAGAAGCCAACAAACTGCGGACGAAAGATTAAACAAAGTCAACGCTGGAGATGTGAAACAGATTCATTTTAATGCCATGAAAATAAAACAATTGTTTATAAAATAATTAAAACGATGATTATGTTTTTAAATTATTAAACAAAATGTTATAAAATTGATGTTTTAATAAGATTACTTACCTCGACATTTTCTAACCTAACCTACAGCAAGATGTTGCTGTGAAAATTTAAATGATACTAGACCATTGATAAAATATCTGTATTGGCTGATAACCACACACTATTTATAATAATTGGTAAAATAAAAACGTTGTTACATTGTTTTCTTTATATCTTGCACTCTCATTCGCGCCTAAATCCTCGTTGAATTTTTTAAAATTCAAAATGTGTCTTTTGATTTCTTGGCGGCCAGTATGATATTGAATACCCCTATACTATTTTTGCAAATTAAACAAACATAATTCTACAATAAACTTCCTTAAAAAATATTACAATATTTAAAGTATACATGCTTTACTTCTAAATAAATGCAAAAATATTTGTCAGCGCCATCTATTGTCAATTATTGCTAAACCAGCTGCTACGGTCACCTTTTTATTTCTATGTTTACTAGGACAAAATAGTATTATAAATAAAAGTTGTAATAACTCTTACATGGATATAGGTATATGGATTATCTGACAAATAATAACGTGTCTTAAAATACACTAGGCTAAACGCTTGTCTAAACATCTTAGCAATTCAGTAAGATTTGCTATTATTTTTCACTAGGCGCCCGATTTTACATTGTAAGGAATCTCTACTAAGTAAATATGCTTTTGTACTGCAGATGCTTGATTACTTTTATCTAAAAAGAGTTGTTCCCGTGCGGTTTCGTCAGCATGAAATTATTTTTTTGTTCACATTTGTCAAATTTTCAATTGCAATCAATGCAAATCAATGCACAAATGAAAACGAAGGCTTTAGACATTGGATAACAATTACCGTTACCATGGCAACCTTGCTTCCTTGATGTCTTTGTAGTTTATGGTCCCTTTTCCACATGAAGGTTTTTTAAATTAATTTATTTATAGCCTAAAACTATCGAAAGTGTAGGACTTTTTATTAAAGAAAGAATTATTAAAACATATGCTGTGATTGCTGACATCTTACGTCACGAAGTAGTGTGTATTTACGTTTTATTATATTAGAATATATAAGTTTGGATCTAAAATCTTACTTCTTACTAATACTATAAATGCGAAAGTTTAGATGGATGGATGGATGGATGTTAACGTTTGTAGCCTAAATGGCTGAACGGATCTCCGTGAAATTTGGCGCAGGTTTAGAGCTTAGTCTGGAAGAACACATAGGCTACTTTTTATCCCGGGAATAGTTACGGTTCCCGTGGGATTCATTAATTTAGTTTTTTAATGTTCACTCTATCATTCTGCAACGGTTCAACATATCTTATTGAAATTTGGCACAGATATATAACAAAGTCTGGAATACACATGGGATAAGCTTCATCCCAGAGAAATGTCCGGTTCCCGAGGGATACGTAGCTTTTTGTAATTTATATAGTTTGTATGTTTTCTAATACCACGCGGACGAAGTCGCGGGCAACAGCTCGTCAAATATATTTCTAATAACATACTAATGACAGTATAAATCTTGCCATCCCGCAAACTCTCATAACATGTGTTAACAAATGCCACGGTAGTTGAAATCCGCAGTTACAAATACCAAATTCAGGTTGATTCAGTGGAAAACCTGTTTCGTATCAATAAACATAAATACTTTAAATAAACTAGCTGAAACTGGTATTCGTTGCTATGCCAAAGTCAAAATTATAAATAACTGGCTGTTGCTTGCGACTTCGTCCGCGTCAAATAAGAAGAATAGTACAATCAGCTCCGAAATTTACTACACAGTTGCTATTACTTGATAAACTAGTTGTAAATTCTATTAAATTCTTTAAACATTCTTCTATATCTTTCTATTTCTATTAGATATAAAAAAATGGAGTGTCTGTTTGTAATATCAAAAGAAAAATTCCAGATTTCAGAATGATGTATTTGCGTTGCTGGTAATGAAAATCGCATTTAATTTGTTTTGTCTGTCTGTCTGTCCGCAAGCCGCGCTTGTTCCGGGTATTCTCCGAAACGGCTGGACCGATTACGACCGGAGTTTCACTAGCCCGTCTAGGGCACATTATGGGCCATTTTTTTATCTTAGTATTGCGTAGACGAACAGGGCAACAGCTAGTTATAACTAATTATTTAACGGTTATTACTCATGTATATTATTCCGTCAATTTTATTAAAACCAGTTTTTAGCTTTTTACAAGGGCCATGTACCTTTGTTTTTACCTCCTTTTAAGAGTAGTAGTGTCAGCTGAATAGATTTGTTACGGTTGGTCACACTGGTACGAACTAAATCAATTGGAATATTTTAATGAATTGTTGATTTGCTTACTAACGAGTAAATTTAAATATTTTAAAGAACTATTTTGAAGTACTTTTAAGGTTATTTTCTTCACAAATACGGTAATAATTCAAATGTATAAGTGTTCATAACATTTTATAAAGCGTTTCTTTTAACGCAATAATCTAAGTTAAATAAAACATTGATTAAATTAATAACTTCAACGGGTTAAGATAACATCTTGTATGGCAAACGAGTCAGACCAGTGTATATGTTTATTTGCATTTTATTTACATATTTAATAACAATATCCTGATTTAAACCGTTTTTACTATGGTATATAAAAAAGTAAATCTAGTTAATTCTGATATATCGTTACTGAAAAGTAAAAAAAATCTGCTAATATGTTTAAATCGAAAAAATCGTCAATTTCCTCAAAAAAATATTTAAAAGCGCTAAGAATTGTCAGATTAAAAATCTTATGGCGTTTATGCTGGGTTTCTGAAGTTGCTATTTATTTTAACATAGTGATTTGTTAGGTTGGCCTAAGTTTCAAGGGAGTAAAACTCAAATTACGTAGTTCGGAAACGTATCGAACCAAAAACAGTAAATAAATAAATAAAATAAGCCTTTATTGCTGTTCTTAAATTAAGGTAATATTTTAAATTTACAATTATATGCTATCTAATATTTAGGGAGATTCCATTTGACAATCATAATGATTCATGATCATAAAAAACAAAGCTAGCCAAAACCAATAACTAACGGTTAAATGTAACTGAGAAATCGGCCATTAGTAACGTAACGTCTATAGCTACTTAACTATGATTCTTCATAACCGAATAAAATGTATATTAAAGTGCGGGCAATCATACGATACGATATCGTATATCAGACATGCTATAAAATACACTTTTAATGCAAGAAACAAAGTTGAAGTACCTAATCCTACAAGAATTTGCATGAAATGAGTAATAAATGCATTAATTAGATGTAAAACGGTAAAAAAAGGAAAGGATTGGATGGGAAAGTGGATTTGACGGTGGAGGAGATGCATAGAAAAGAAAAATATCCCCTTTATGTGCGTCTTCTCCTGCGTCGATTTAAGGGTAGGCAACGCACTTGCAATTGCGGATGTCTATGGGCAGCGGTCGCTTCGTCAATTTTGCGAATTGACATGGGTAGCCGCTTGATCGTTTGTCACCTTCTTGTATAAAAAAAAATGGTTTTAGTATTAAAGTATTACATAAAGATAAAATAGCCCTAAGTTTTCAATTTGATCTTCAAATTGTATGAAAAAAACTTTCGAGAATAAGTTTTTGCTGAAATTAAAAACATATATTTCCTACCATTAAATCTATCTTACGTAGTTGAAAATTATTAGAAACTAGCTGTTGTTAGCGACTCCGTCCGCGTGAAATTAAAAAAAATAATATATAGCCTATATTAATTACAGATAAATTACATTTCTAACAGCGAAAAATTTTAAAATCGATCCAGTAGATTTGGTGTTATTTCTCTCCTCTTTATTATATTTGTATATAGTCTATAATCTGCTGTCCATAGAATATTTACAATATATTCTAGTTTAATATTGTTTAATGATGTTTGGTTTGTTCGACCTATGGGTAAATTGATCCCAAGGGTTCTCGCGGAAGATCAGCGCTGGCACTACAATTAGTAACATCCAGCATTTATAGCTGAGCGGGGACCCAATCCGGTCAGCATTGCAACGCTAATTTTAAATATTTCTTTTTTTTTTCATTGCATTAGTTACGTTTCTCATTATTTTGTGTTTAATTACTTCTTTTTATTCATAATTGTAGTGATGACAAGGATTAAACGTTATTTTATTTTATTTTTTTTATTTAAATAAATTAGGGTCAAATTATCGCTGTATAATCACTTTTAGTACATAAATAAGGTATTTTACATTAAGGTCGGTATTATCGCTGTTTCTGCATTCACGATTGAATTTGAATACGTTTGCATTTAATTATTTAAAGTAAACGACTTATTTGACGTCATGGAAAATAATCACTCAAAATATAAACTAATCTTACCGTAAGGTTTGTCTCCTTCATAATTGATGGCAAATTCAAAAAACCAGTTTTTGAACACACTATTTTAGACTACTTAATATTTGTTTGTTTTCTATTGGTCGTTGTTTGGCGGACGAACATCTTACGCGTTTGTCTGAACACCACTACTGCGAAAATCGATTCGATATAACTATATAAGCCTGGATTTTGTCGTTAAACCATCAATTGTACAACAATGGTGTAAGTTTTTATTACTAGGATTATTACAAGTAGAGTGCTATATAGTTAAAATGTGTAGATCATCTATTTTATGATTTCCTGTAATCGTTGATGTAAATGCTATTAAACGTTATGGCCTGTGGTAAGTCTCTAATGCGTAATTTCATAAACATATAATTTCGCTCCAAAAAGTTAAATAAAAAGAAGGAAAACATCATTTTAAAATAAATAGGACAAATGGTATAGAAATCACATAGTAGCAATATCTAAAACAATGAAAAAATAATATTAAAGTACTGCAACTTGTCTTTTGGAAAATTTTAAAATGTCAAATTTTTGTGCAAAAACTAGCATTTGATTGTTTAAAAGGTTAATGTCATTCAGTTTGTTTCTCACTCAGGTATAAAAGTGTGTTGATTTGTGGTAACCTTAAACACCAAACAAGTTTAAAAAAAACTGTTATCCATACTTACGTTTTATCTGTGTTATTATAACTGCAGTTGTGAAGTGGGCTATATCGAAAACATTTAAATTAAACAACGTTGGTACATCTTAATACGTATATTTGTCCACTATTCATCAACAAATTGAACACGGTAACATGAGAATAAACATTTCGTCTAACACAACGAGCGATATACTTTCGTCTAATTACAATAAGTACGAGAAGCAATGCACAAGTTTATCCCACGATTAACATTTTTAGAACAACCTTTACATAAATACCAAACAAAAGACAAAATTAATAATTATTATAACCTCTAAATGTCAAACCGGTTATGATAAAGTGCATCTAATAACTTATTAAGAAATACCAGCCGACTAAGGAAACGATATATCAACTGCGTTTTATTCTCCTTAATTTTGACGTTAATCAGATTGTTGCGACTTCACATAGCGAAGTATTCGGTCGCAGAAGAATAATCCTGAGTTCCGTTTAACGCAGTAATAAAATTTGAGAGTTATGTAGCATAATGATTTTTTTTTGCTGTCAATCGAAGCGTTTTTTGTACTTTGTCTTTTTTGTGGTCATAAAATTAAATACATCTTTTTTAAAATTATTTAAACATTAGTAATTAGGTATGAAATCACATTTCATCATTATAATTTGCAATTAGATGAATTGTGTAAAAACAAGAATTTTTAAACTATATATTTTGATATATTTATAGATTTATAACAAAGTATTATAAGATATTATGGTTAATTATAGTGTAAGGCAAAGGCACAAGTTATATGGTGAGAGATGGTGATGATTTTTTTTTTTATTATTACAGAAACATTTTAAACACAAGAACGGGAAATGTTAACATAACAAATATGTTTAATTTATTCTTTAACTGCGATATAAGTGTATTCTTATCAAGGAAAATGTATAAAAACTAATTATTGGTTTGTTCTGTGTCATTTTCTTTGTTTTTAATTTTTTTTTTTAAATGCAACTTGATATGTCTAGTATGAGTACACTTTTATACATTCGTGAGAATAAAGCAACGTGCGAAATGCTCAGAAAATTTATTCTGAAATAAATTACTAACAACAGATCCGCTTTTAAATAACCTAAAAACTGGGCCAAGTATAAAAAATGTATAAAGTACAAAACATCGTATTAGATAATTCTCGAGAAGCAGAAATCTAGTCATAAAAAACTATTTCTTTACTGTGAAAATACAATTATGTTTACATCGATTGCTTTACAAGTTTTTTTGTTATACTCTGTTTTTTTTTTGTAATGAAAATGCAAATTGTTTTGATTGAAGTAAAAACTGATACGAACTGCTTTAAAAAAGACTATTACATAATATGTCAACAAAAAGGCGGGAATTCAAAACATCATGGCCGCCAAAACTTTTAAATTAATGCTCTTGTTTACATGATTCCAATACATAGGGCACAGTGAGGTTCTAGTATGAGTTCTAATTCCAGTAAAAGTTATGCTGGATTCGATCGTAGTACTTGAATAATGCTGACTAGGCTTAAAAAGTTCTAACAGATTCTATTAAGAGTCGGATTGTTCCATTAACATTACAACTGTCAGTTAAGACCACAGATAATAAAATCCTACAATAGGACTGAACAATAGTAACTGGCTTAAAACATGGTGGTACATTCACGAAAAAAAAAATCAATAATGTGTCTGTTTTTCATTATTTGATTTTTGTCATAAACATTTATAGGAAGACATTTATATATGACTAGGGTTATACATCTTATCAGTAAATGTATTTTGTATATTGTAACAAGTTTTAATTAAATATTGATTGATTTTCCAGTGCGTTTTGTTTCTATCGTGTTTAACAATAATAAAATGCATTAAGAAATACTTGCTTAACTATAAGAGACATGTAAGACATTCTCTTGTAATTCTGATTATAAATATTAATATTAATGGAAAAGTGTGCGTTTTTTGGTTTATTTTCATTTTCATGTTATTTTTTTAAAAACCTCGTCTGATATTGACGTTCACAAAATGCTGTTTTATCTTTCAATCATTTTAACTATTAATTTAGCAGACAAATAATAAACTTACCTAAATGTTTAAGAACCTATATCTAAATGGTAAACATTTAAACACTATTATTTAGAATAAAAAACTGTTTGTCTTAATTTTTTACAAAACTTCAAACTCATTAATTTTGTACGATTCATCAAATTTCAAAACACTAAGGAAATTGCTGTAAAAGAATTTTACGGTTAATCGCCTATCGAATTTCGTGATAAGTCAACGAAATAATCGATTAGTTGCTATGTAGTTGGGGAGGATTGGAAATAATAGATATAGTGTTAACTGTTACTAATGCGTTTAAGTTTGTTTAGGGCGGCCACGCTTTCTTGTTCCTTGTGAGATCCACTCCACTCGGAGTTCAGTAGCGGCCGACTTGAAGGAAATCACGGTCCGTGACATTAACGCAGAGCCCAGGACAGAGCGGCGGAGTACTGTGGACGCCCGCTGCCCCACTTTGGGGATATAGTAAAAGAAGAGAGAGAGAGAGAGAATGCGTTTAAGTCCGAACGAATCATTTCCAAGTAATGACCTCTACAGTTATAGAGATCAGTAGCTAGCGATATTTCATGCAACTGTCACTGCAGTGCAGTTTGTTGCGTACATTTAGGACGTAGTAAAATACAAGTTTTATTAAGTGAATTGTTTTTGTCTTGTTCAATGAGATATTTAGTATGCGAAAGGCTTGTTTTTGCTATAAATTTGTCAATTTAAGAACATATCGTTTAAGCATAAATGTTTTCATAATAGACAATAAATGAACCGATCGATTTATTATTGTTATGTGTTTGTATTATTTAAAATGGAATTTACATATAAACGGGACTATTTCTTCAGTTTGCATTGAACAGTTGGATTGTTAAGCAGTTAGAATTGTACAAGTTCTTAGTTTTAAGCTACAAGTAAAAATCCGACTGATGGTGTGTAGCTTGCTTAATGGAATGTAACAAGACAGAGAGGTTCTATGTTTGCATTTTTCATACTAAATACATATATTTCTACTTTCACTTATAAATTATTTTGATCACGGTTGGTTGTCCGCATATTTGCAATTCAATGTATGTAGGGGCCAAGAATTGGAACAGTAACAGTCATCGCATAAATATTCCACAACAATTAATTAAAGTTATAATTAATCTTCTCGACCTCTGCTCAAACTAAATCTGCGATGGAATTTAAAAGGTTTCTTCTTCTCTTGTTTTTCTTCTGAAGATTTTCCGTCAAGTAGATTATCAGCACTTTTCGCTACTTGAACACTTTTCCTTCTATTTTTCATTGTTTTCACTAATTTATAAAATTTCCCTCTCTTTTTAGTAGGATCTGTGGCATGATCTACTTCTTCTTCCACTTCTACGCTGAACTCTGATGATATGTCTCCCAAGTCTTCGATGCTGTGACTTTCTGCTTCTTTGGGTTGTGGCACTTCAAGTTTAACCTTTGATGTATTTGGTTTCGGTTCTGAAGGGGGAGGAGGTGCGTCCGGATCTATGCACTGGAACAAAAAAAAATATTTTAAACACCAATTAAAAGTAAAAACACAGAAAACAAAACCTATTTAGATCAAGATTGGAAACGAAGAAGTTTCTCTATTGTGAAAACATTCTGAACTTTTAATCATTCCTCACATTTGCTAAGTTTTAAAGATTGCAGATAAAAAGGGAAGGGAAAGGAGAAAAGGAAAAAACATCAAGATATTATATTCCACAAAGGTTTCATTCCTTACATCTTCAATGGAGATTCTGTAGGATGGTACTTGTTCAGGATTCCTCCAGGGCTTGAAGTACGGTGAGTCAGTGAGGGCCTTCCAGCCGGGGTAGCGGCGCGCCGCCGCCTGCAGCTGGTGCACCAGACGAGGAGCTAACTGGGCTGTCACCCTGAATACACACACAGTATCATCTATACTAATGTCATAAAGAAGAAAGATGTGTCTTTTTTATGCATTGAAATAACTCATTAACTACTGGGCCGATTTCAACAATTCTTTCACCATCAAAAAGTCATGTTATTTGTGAGTAACATAGGCTATATTTTTTAATTTCACGCGAATGAAGTCGCTAGCTAGTAATCAACACATTGTTATTTTCTAATATTTCTTTTAGAGACTTAATTGATATGTTATACACTTCAATTAAATATTTTTTTTATTTTACACTTCAATTGTCTCATTTGATGATAGTTTGAGACCTGTTTGACATTGTTAATTGGTAACTGACCTATTAACAAGCCAGGCGGGCAGCGCGCCGCGCGGATCTGAGCGGGAGACGTATCCCAGCCAGCTGCCAGCGCCCTCCCGCGCTCGCACCACGAAGCCCGTCAACAGTGACACAGCTCTGCAAAATATATGGACAATTTTATTTTTTATTAACAATGGTAACCATCACCTTCTAGTTATATAAGCTAGAAGACCGACGACCAGACTAGTTACTTTAATTACACATTGAACATTTCAATAATCAGATCAAGCAGATGAAGCGGAAATTCATAAATGAGACTATCCAGAAGATAACAGAAGCATGCATATGTGGAGAGTTCTGCATCTCTCATTCTACCACTCTCTAACCTTTTTGTCATACGTACTATCCAGCGATCCATAAAAAGCTTTTAAAATTCTATCAGTGTTAAACCCTAATAGACTAGCTAGTAATAAATCAATCTATTAGAGCAAGGGCCGCGCTAGCGAGAAGGTCGTCACGGTGACGCACACACTGTCTTATCTAATCGGCGGAGTGCCGGCAAATTGGCAGATAGGGCAGTCGCGCACAACGCATCACTATCGACCAAACATCTACAGGATACAAGTTTTCCTCTAGCGTGGCTAAACGTGTTGCAGGCCGCTTATTGTGAGCATTGTACTTCAATACAAATTCCACTGGCACGACTAAGTAACGGGTCTAAGGTTTACAATAAAAATACATAAGACATAGGTTTTACAATTGAACAGGCAAGGGAAATCGTCACTGAGATGTTTGATTCAACATTTATTGTCAGAGTATTGCTTATTCGTTTTTCAAATTACCTGACGTAGCCCTTCCTAGGCGGGTAGTCTTTGTGGTAGACGGAATGGTTGAGGATCATCTTCTCGTAGCCGGTGTCGAGCCAAGAGCGCTGCAGTACGAAGTCCCGGTTCTTGAGCGGCGCCGGGCATGACACTGGCGACAGAATGGATAATGTATTTTAGAGTATTTTACCATTAGCACGAGAACAGCTCAGAACTACTTTTATATACAAACAATGTATGGTCACTGTAATAAAAGATAAAATTAAAAAAAAACTAGTCGCGTTAGTGGAAACAGAAGTCTAATTTGGATCATGGTTGAATTATTAGCATTTCCAGGGCTCTGAGGAGGAAAAATTGTAAATTTCAAGGCAACTGTTACAGTTTTCTTTGTTATTGCAAGCCGTAACTATAAATAAATTATACAATAAACGAAGGGGCAATGAAGTTTGTAATCAATAAAACGTCCAAGGGAACCGATGTCCCCTTCATACCACTTCGGTAACATTAACTGGCAATTACGTAAATAGGACTACGATGGGGTTTTCCAGTGTATAACACGACAGTAGAAAACCCATGTATATTGAGGTAATAATTGTAGAGATCATTTTTGTAATCTTACTAATATTATAAATGTGAAAGTTTGGATGGATGGATGTTTGTTAGAGTTTGTAGGCTAAAAGGGTGAACGGATCTGGATGAAATTCGGCATAGATGTAGAGGATAATCTGGAAGAACACATAGGCTATTTTTTTTTGTTTTATATTAATTCCACGCGGACGGAGTCGCGGGCGGAAGCTAGTATATAAATATAAATAACGATCTTTCTCATCATGTTTTATTTTGTAACCAAAAAAATCCCCATCTTTTAATTAAGGCAACAGGTGTTTGTCCTCCAAATAGCTCTATCATACGTCATCTCAGTAATCACTACCTTCTTGATCATGCAATCACGCAATCCATCCATCTCTTTCTAATTTTGTAACCTAAAAATGTAATAGCTAAAAGTCATTTCGTCTAATGAAAAAGAATATCAAAAATATTATTTCAGTATTCAGTAATTGAGTCGTAAATACGAGCTGAAACATATTTTTCTGAAACTGTAATCGAATATTGTTTGAACAATCGCTCTCTTATTTACTCAATTTGTGACCCTTGTTTAATCAATAAGTTAGTTTTCTTTTTCATATTAGAAAATGGCTATTGAATTATACAAATAGAGGGTTTTATTATTTTTTTAAACTAGCTTCATCTTTTTGTTTAAATTCATCCCGTTCCTATTTTAATTTCCGTAACAAATACAACTGGCCAGCGATAAAAGTGTGCCATGAAACTGTGACGTCGAGTGGCGTCAAGCATGACCGAATTCAATGGCCTATTGTTGATGTAAAAAATGTAACAACAATATCAATTCAATTTGCAGGATATTTAAGTTTTTACTTTACTGTACAACTTAAGTATTGTACAAAATAAAAAAATGCTTTTATAATAACTTATTAAAGGCTCCTCAACAATTATTTTGTAATCTTTCGAACTAATTCTACCCTGAGTAGTTGTTAGTTTCCTTCCCACCCTTTTTCTCATAAGAATAGGATCGAAGGGGAAAGTGGATTTGACGGTAGAGGAGACACATAGGAAGAGGAAATATACACTTTATATACGCCTCCTCCTCCTTCGATTAACAGTAGGCAATGCATCTGCAATTGCGGATGTCTGGGCAGCAGTTCCTTTGTCATTTCGGCGGATCTAGGTGGCCGCTTGCTCGTTTGCCACCTTATAATGTAAAAAAAAATAGTGAGGCAAAAACACTAAATACTGCAGTAAAATGCTTAAAATATACGATTATTTTAGCTACAAAGTTACATCTTGCGAAGAAGGCGTTTTTCTTACTTGTCTTACGATCGATAGAGTTCTTAGTGGTCTGGTTTTGATCTGATAACAGTTAATTGGACTCCCCCGGGTCTGTATTCAATTAGGGCACATTGTTTAGTCTCCAATATCCTGTCGACGCTTCGTTACCGACCAATCAACTGATGTAGGTCGACATAAAAGTATTTTTATTTTCTTATTTGTTATTTTCTTTGTATTTATATTACCGTGGAAATAATTTCTATCTTGATTGTAATTACTTGGTACTGATAAATTATCTTATCTTTATTTAATTATTTTATCGTTCTGGGATATTTTTATGTTGAAGCAATGTTTTGGGTTATCATTAGTTCCCAGGACTGCAACTGTCTCTATATTTTCAAAGGGAAAGAAAGGGAGGGAATAAAAGGGTCTCTTCAGTATAAACGCACTGTTACACAATACTGGTTTGAGAGTGTCGCGGCCGCGGCGTCGGCGTCGCAACACCGTCGCGACGCTGACAGCTATTCATAATTCCTAGCACATGCAAATTCAACTTTTCTCTACCTTTCCATTCTGTATACGTTCTCTTATTAGGTTATTTTAGCTTCAATATTCTTTATTAGAACACACCAAACATAATAATGAAATCTTATCCTTTAGTATATTACTTTTAAAGTTGTAATAAAGTTTAAAAAAATCCCGTTCTAAGTTATGATATAAAAACTATAAAAGTCATATACCGATAGATTGCTTTAGACGTCCCGAGTCGGTGGAAATTTAAAAAGTTGCTGCTTTAAAAAAGTTAACTGGATATAAAAGCCGACTAA